AGAAGGATGGCTTTTAGCAGTTCCCATTATAATACGGGGCCCTATATAAATTTCCCCCATTTTGGGAACAGTAATTTAGGGAAACTACCATATTGTAGTTTCTAATAGTATATTGTAGGGATAATGGAAAAGAAAATGGAAACTACTATACTATGCTATACTATGCTATACTATACTATACTATACTAAACTATACAATGAATGTTGGGATCCAGAGGGATACCAAGCGCATCCCTTGAGTTCATCGCTTGTAGTTCCCAAGCTGCGAGGAACTCCGGGCGCGTGTCGCATGCCCTCGGTCTTCGCGGGCCTTGCTTCACCATCGACACGGCGTGCTCGTGCCTTGCCGCCAAAATGCTGCCTCCAAGTACTTTGTTCCTCGGCTGCTTGTCTCAGGGATTCTTGGCATAAGGTCCACCCTGGTAGCTTTGGACTGCGCTGCCCAAGCCAAGCGAATGGGTAAGTGCGATCGCAGCATCGTGGCAGGAAGCAACCTGCAGCTGGGCTTGCACCGATGAGAATATTGAGATTTAGGACCATTTGACTCGATGCTGCTGGCAACCATGTGGCCTGCAAGTCTGCTTGTTCTGTCGCGCTTCAGGCAGCTGTGTCCAAACACCTGGGTGGCTTGGGCTCAAAGGATCCCGGCTGGTTGCATTCATCTCTGCCACACTGCGGAGCAGCCTTGTGCTTGTGTGCTTGATCTTGTCCAATCCAGCAGCACTGCCCAGTGTGTCTGAGGTGGGTTTCTGCAAGATGGGCATGGCGCTCTCACCTGACGGCCGCTGCAAGACCTTCGATGAGTCCGCGAACGGTTTCACGCGAACTGACGGCGCGGGGTCGCTGATCTTGGAGTTGGCCGCCGCTGCAAGTAAGGCTACAGGGCATGCAACTGAAAGACAGCCGGAATCAGGATGTCCAATGTGGTGTATTGTAGCCGTGGCCGTGTCTATGAGGCTGGAAGGCAGGAAGTGGCGACCGCTCTTGGGGTCTGCGTGAACCAGGCAGGAGCCACAACTGTCTGGTTGAGGGAGCTTAATTTGCCAGGTTGTGACAGCCAAAATGCCCAGCACTCTTATTAAGATTGCTACTGTTGCCACTAGTTCACTAGTGGGTCAGAAGCAACCTAAGCTATTCATCCTCATTTTTTTTCAGCCTGAAAACGGTCATCATGATCGCTGTCGCATCATCGTCTCACTGAGGATGGCCGCAGCGCTACCATCACCGCACCCTCTGGACCAGCCCAGCAGCGATGCATCAACGCCTCGCTGCAGGACAGGGAATACGAGCCATAGGGTTTAGGGTTTAGGGTTTAGGGTTGGTTATATGGGATAATGGAAAAGAGAATGGAAACTACTCTAGTATACTGGGGTCATATTGGGATGATGGAAAAGAAAATGGACACTACTCTAGTACACTAGGGTCATATTGGGATGATGGAAAAGAAAATGGACACTGCTATAGTCTATTGGGGTATTATTGGGATGATGGCAAATAAAATGGAAACTACTCTAGCATATTGGGGTTATATGGGGAGAATGGAAGAGAAAATGGAAACTACTATACTACTATACTGCATGTGCAGTTTGAGTTCATGTGTGTTGGGATTAGGGAGTACCCACATGCAGTATTGTGGGTATTACTTGCCCAAATGATTGCACATGGGAGGCTTCACAGCGTCTTACAAGATTTCTAGAGAAACGTGTAGGCAGTAGCAGAAACACAATCAGAATAGGGTGTTGAGGTAGGTATATCAGTATACCAGGGGTATACTAGGCATGGTTCACTGCCGTCACACGGTAGGCTGTCCAATTGTTGTCCTTGTATTGGGCAACCTAACGACTACGGACCGCATTGCACTGGGGACCCGAAGAAAGACCAAAATTTCGACCACCCTTCATGTTAGGATGAGGAGGGAATGTGTGTGCACATCCGGGCAAGGATTAGCTGTAGGGAATTTTCGAAATTGTGTTTCCCTAGGCATCGTAGGGCATGCTGAGATGAATCAAGGGATTGCAAAGGCGGTTCTGAAGGCCTAGCTGAGGGCAGCATCAGGATTTTGGAGTTTTGCCTCGTTCACAATTGGGGTGACTTTTTCTGGGGGGTAAAAAACTGGGTAGATGAGAAGAGCTACTGGGCTTTGGGCCTTGTGGGAGAAACTGCGTTCATCCCCATATAACCCCAATATGCCATAGTAGTTTCCATTTCATTTTTCATCATCCAAATATTACCCCAATAGACTATAGCAGTGTCCATTTTCTTTTCATCCCTGCAGTGATTTCAGAGTGTGCATGCTGGAGGGATCTACCGGGCATGTAGGCTGGCTCTGCTTCCAGAAGATTGCGTTTGAGTGCGGCCCCCTGCAGGAAGCTTCGGTGAAAGCTTTGGAGGTGTCGCTGGTGGAAGTTCATGGCACCGGCACCTCTCTTGGCGATCCGATTGAGGCGGAGAGTGTGACCGCCTTTCTTGCCTTCTGTAGATGATTTCTATGCGAATAAAATGTTCCCAGGTACTGTAAGTGTGCAGATGCAAAAAACACATCCGGAATCCACATCCAAAAAGATTGGTCTGAAAAGCAAAGCTCACAGCGGCCCGGCAACTGATGACAGAACATGAGATTGCTTGCAGAGGTTGGCGGTATGAAGAGCACTTTGGGCAAAAGCCGCATGGAAGACTCGCCGCTGATTCTCGCTGCCACGAAGTCAATCATCGGGCACACAGAAGGCTTCCTGCCAGATCAAGTGCGTGTATGTAGGAATGTCCTGGAAGGAATGGTCTAGGATCGTCGGTCTGAAGGAGACCTAGGTTGTGGACAGGGCTGTGTGAAGTCCTTACATGTCTGCCGCTCCGCGACCTTGCTGTAATTAGGAGCCTTCACCATCAGCACCTATATGATGGCGCTGTTTCACGAGAAGTAAGCAGGTGTCGCTATGCTGTAAGTGTAAGGTGTTGTCAGCAGCAGTAACAGAAGCATCAGCATTTCTGCATGATGCAGACCTCGCCGGAAGAGAAGCACAAACAGTGTCAGAGCGAGGTTAGCCCAAGGTTAAGAATTCCGATTCATGTGCACAGATACGGTTCTTCGGATGCTTGGTGAGCAGACGAGCCGGGGGGGGGGAAGGGTGACGACTTCAGTTTCCGAGGCTCTGCTGGCGTGGCCGGCCTCATCAAAATGGTCGGGGAGTTTAATCACAGGACCTTGTCCTTTTAACCAGCAGTTGTGACCATTTCAAGAATCTTTGTGATCAGCCTGTGTTGCTGGGCAGGATCGTGCCAAAGAATTTGCACTTGAAGACGATGAATCCAAACATTGATCTGACCGATTTCCCCGTGATCATGCCAAGCAGCATTATCGATTGGAAGGGCTCCCGTGCCGTTGCCGGCACATCCTCCTTTGGCTTCTCTGGTACGAACAGCCATGGTACGTTGGAAGCACCATCGGGAGGTGAAGGCAAAGATGTGATCTTGGAGCGGCCAGAGAAACTGAGGTGGAACAAGACGTACCATAAGATGTACCATGACTGGTCGCAAGGCCTTTGGTTTTCCTGTGAGTGGAGACCGTCTCCATTGGCAGGTCCCAAGTCTCAGGCTTTGCCTTGCCTGGTTATTGGAGGCGGACCCTTCGCCGAGGCGTTCCGAGATCTCGTCGGCGCAGACAACTGCGACCTACAGCCTGCAAAGGCAGATACTATGGGAACAGCGCTGAAGAGCAAGGCCTGGAAGGCGGTTGTCTTTGCAGAGATGTTGGTTGCAGACGATCCCACAGCAGAGGGCCCCGCGATGGCAGCCATGCTCAGTGCAGCTCAGTCAGCTGCATCCCTGGGTGGTCTTCGCTTTTCCGTGCTCACCGCCGGTTCCCAGGAAGCCGAAGCTTCCGGAGAGGGCATCGGTCGAGGCCTTCTCGGCGCAGCGGCCTGGGGCTTCATGCGCTCGATGCCGCTTGAGGCCACGGGGGTTGTGCTGAACATGGTCTACAAATAGTCGTAAAAGAACAGATGATCAACACACGAGACTAGAGCTCAAGGTGCACGAAGCCTTTGGCTGGGCATCCGTTTTCTTGGGAAGTTCTCTGCTGCAGGCACCGCAGCTTCGAGCCCAAGTGATTGACCTGACACGGGCTCAGTCTCATGCTGCAGGGCTCATTTGTACCACTTGGGCCTACAGAGAGAGCACTCCATGACATATGAAGATTGAGGCCATCTGGATATGCCAGCTCATTGACCTCCTGGACGCAGACAGTTCTGGATGAGATCTCGTGTGAGGAGCTTGTTGTATACCAGTCTGAGAGCTAGGAGTGCTGCATGGAGGTTATCATAGCCTGACTTCTGCTTGAGCCAGGACCCGGAGCGAGAAGTCGCTTATACTGGGGAGAACTCAGAAAGGCAAGTGCCACGTTTGGCAAGGTATACCATGAAGCCCGGTGCTCCTTGTCTGCAGTCTTGAGAGATCTTTAGTGAGGCGCTGGGCACTTGAGCTTTTAGAAAGCAGTTCGCTTCACCAACTGATTTCAGTTTTTTTCCAGGTCAATTCCCTGGAAGATCCTGCAAAGACGCAGCTGGTTACCGGCGGTCTTGGTGGGCTCGGCTTGCAGACGGCACACGCACTGACGGCCCGCCCATTCTTTCCCGTGAACCCCCCCGACCCTCCCACAGTGAGTTTGTCCAAGCTAGCCATGCAAAGTGCAGACACGAAATGTGCCTCGACATACCCTCTTTCCCTGCATACATTCCCTTCCAAAGCCAAGTCACCTCAAAGGGGATCCATTGGAAAGCTGGGATTTGGGAGGACCTCGGGGCTCGAAGCCTCCTTCTGGTCTCGCGGCGGGGTGCTGTGGCCTCAGGCGGGGGGTTGCTGAAATGTCCCAGTTCCATTTGGAGTTTAGGGGTTCGTTGTTTAGGCTTCTGGGGTTTAGCAGCATTTTGCTGGCTTATTAGGTACATGCTGGCATAGCAGCAATGATGGGATGATACCATGCGTTAGGACAATCAGTTCCTCCCCGTACATCTTTTCAGGAAAACCCCCGTGGCCCGTAAACCTTAAACCAACATTAACGGAAAGCACTCAGGTGATGAGGCTTCGGCAAAGCAGCTGGAGGACTTGCAGGCGGCTGGGGCTGGGAAGAAGAGTTGTCAGTTCAATCCATAAACCCTCAGTTCTCAACCTTCTTTGGGAGCACCACAGCGGCTGCCATAGTCAGATTCAAGACCTTGAGAAACCTGTAGACAGCTGCATAGGTGTTTCCAAAAAAGGGGTCCACCTCCCGAAAGTGGGAGCTCTCAAAGGCATCCCCCCTCCCCTTTTTGCTGGGAAATCTCCACATAATTCAAGCAGGGTTTGGGGCGGGTGGAGCATGTCCCTCAGGTGAAGCCTGGCATCACGGTCCACACCTGGGCATGTCATCTTGGTCGCAGAAAGCTTCCCAGAATCTAGGGGTTCTTCTTCGGGGCTTGCACAGGGATTCTAAGTTGGCGTGTATGGGTTTCTGTGGGGATTCTCCAAAGAGTTCCCACTGATTGGTCACTCAACATGCACCTGCCGGCACCCAACCATGCGGAGCGTGGCATGCCTGATGCACCTCCCTGCCTCCGCCTGGCTATTAAGGTATTATAATGGGGAGACATAGTAAGAAACATGGTTCCCCTACTATAGTGACTTGATCTAAGCTACTTTACAGCAACCCAGTCCGTGGCAAAACCGAGGCGATGTGGGGCAGAAGGACCAGGTGACAGCTCTGGTCAAGCGCATTCAGTCTGAACTGCCGGACAATCAGCTTGGTGGCATTGCGTAGCTTGCTTCAGCTCTGGGACACGTTTATGTAGGGCTTGGGCTTTAAGGTTTCCCAAAATTCTAGGTACCTACAAGGTTTTATATAGGGTTTATATAGGAGTTTATGTCGGGGTTGTATCGGGTTTAGGGTTTAGGGTTCCCCAAAGTTAGAGGTACCCTTTCGAGGGCCCCTATGATCAATTAGGATTAACATCTATCAGGGTCTATCTTGGGGTCCCCCTATATCTGGCAAATCACCGTGTATTGCTTGCATTCAGCAGCTGACTTGTTTATCCCGACCTGAAGCGGCTATGTTGCACCTCTCTCAGGCATGCTGCTGGAATCATCGATTTTGTGGAGCTACAGGCAGGGGCTGCCACATAAGCGCTTGACTTGAGCTAGAGATGCTGATCTGCAGGCTCAGACTATGGAGCGCATGAGCAAGGTCTTCAAGCCCAAGGTCTCTGGGGCATGGCATCTGCACGAAGCAAGCAAGGACATAGCCTGAGGCTTTTGCCACCCTTCATGCACTTGTTGTAGCGGGTGCACTTGAGGAGCTGGATGTGGCATCATTCGTTGGCTTCTCCTCTGTGTCTGCCCTGATTGGGCTTTCGCGCGGCACCAGCTATTCTGCCTCGAATGCGTACCTGGATGGTCTGGGCCTCTGGAGGCATGCGTCCAAGCTGGCTTTCTCAAGCGTGCAGTGGGGCCCAGTGGCAGAGGTTGGCATGGCCAGCAAGGATGGGTAAGGGACATGAAAAGAATTGCTAGGAAGCTTTGACTCCTAAACACTCTAAGGCATGTGTGTGCTGGTCTTTTTCGGCAGGACCACTCGGGGCAAGCCGACTCAGCACTGCGGCAACTGCCACCGGGCCATGTCCAGGCTGCATTCCGCCAGGCTGTGGTTGGAAATGGCAACCGTGGTTGGCCAATTCCAGCACTGTGTTTTGCACAGGCCGGCAGCATGTTCATCACGAGCACATTTCCTGGCTTTAATGTATTCCGTTGTTGTGAGAGGTGGAGTGGGGCCGGTTCTTGCGCGAGCTTGGGGCGGAGATTCCAATCCTCGAAGAGTTTGCTGGTGAAGAGGAAGCCGTGGCCACCACAGGGACAGCAGCCGCAACCCTGCCAGCCGCTTTCCGCGGTCTGGGACCCGAGCAGCTGGAGGCTAAGCTGGCTCAGGTGGTCCAAGGCATCGCCACGGGAATCTTGGGTGTGGATGACCTCAGTGGAGATGCGCCGCTCATGGAGGCCAGGGCTTTGGGTTGTGACATGTCGTGAAAGTCTTAGGTGACATTGTTGGAGCATTGGGGTGAGAGGCTGGACTCGACTCCTTGTCGTCCGTGGACTTCCGCAACTCCGTTGCCAAGGAGCTGCCAGGCCTGAAGCTTCCCAGCACCCTGATGTTCGATCATCCCACCACCAAAGCCATCGCGGCGTTTGCAACAGAGCAGTTGGCGGCAGTGGCTGCCATGCCTGCGGTGGCTGCCGTGGCTGCACCCGTGGAGTTGGAGATTTCCTTCCCCGGAGATTTTGACTCACTGAGCCATGAGGAGAAGGAGGAATTTAAGGCGAAGGCGCTGAAGGAGATCCTGGAGAGGACAGGGCTGCGCCCCGAAGATTTGGAGGACATCGAGCTGGAGCCTGGCTCCATCATTGTCAAAGCCAAGGTCAGGCAAGCCTCCGCCCTCCCCCCGGCCCAAGCCCAGGTCTGGACCTCAGCGAGAATTCAGCACAGAAATGTGAGTAATTAGCAGACTACTTTCCTGAAATGATAACTGTGCTACATATCCGCGCCAAGGCTGTTGTGGCTGAGATGGCTGAGAGGCCAATGACAGTCGAGCTCGATGGCCGCCCAACCTTCGAGTCCCAGAGTGCCACAAGCACTGCAGCCGTTGCTGCTCCGACAAAGGCAGGGCTGAAAAGCATTCCTCGCGCCTTGCCGGCTGGGCCAGTGGGCGCCAAGCTGCCCATCGCAGTGAACTCTGCAGCCTACCGCTTCCCCTTGGAGGGCACAACGCCTGACGAGATGTGGAACGTGCTGACCAACAAGACTGATGGCATCAGCGAAATCCCCCTGGAGAGGTGGGATGTCGATGCATATTTCAATGAGGACGCAGAGGTCCCCGGCATGATGACGGTGCGTCATGGGGCTTTCGTCAAGGGGGCTGATCTCTTCGATGCTTCCTTTTTTGGTCTCAGCCCTGCAGAGTCCAAAGTCATGGATCCTCAGCAGCGGCTGCTCCTCGAGGTGATCTACCAGTCCTTCCACGTGGCCGGACTGCCCTTGAGCTCGCTGACAGGCATGGAGGCCAGCATTTGCGTGGGGCAATGCAACAATGATTCTGAGCTGCTGTTAAGGAATTTAAGTAAAATCACCATGATGGGTATACTCACTAATCAATATGGCTCCTCCATTAGTACCTTAACTTAAATTACTTTTAAGCAACCCAGGATTGGGGCCACATGGGCTTCAGTGGCTCTGCGGAGTCCTCTGAGAAGATTGGCCCTTACACAGGCCTGGCCCTCTCCACCTCTATCTCCTCCAATCGGGTTTCCTACCTGCTGGGCCTCAAAGGTCCCAGCGCCACTGTTGACACAGCCTGCTCCTCATCCCTGGTGGCTGTGGACTTCAATGTCTCCAACCTTCGACGGGGGAGGTCCACAGTAGGAGCAGGATCTGGCGTCAACCTGTGCCTTATCCCAGGTCCATTCATTGCCTGTAGCAAGGCCCACATGCTCTCGGAGGATGGTCGTTGCAAGACCTTCGACGCATCAGCCAACGGTTATGTGCGAGGAGAGGGCTGCGGTTCGGCCACGCTCTCACTTTTGGACAGCAGCACTGGCTTGAAGCCAGTGGTGGCGCTGAAGGGTTCTGCCGTGAACCAAGATGGCCGGAGCTCATCGCAGACGGCTCCGCATGGGCCTTCGCAACAGGCTGTTATTCTGACTGCCTTGGCAGAGGCTGAACTGGAACCACGTTTCGTTTCCTGCATGGAGACGCATGGAACTGGAACGGCCCTTGGAGATCCGATCGAAGTTGGCGCCTTGCGCAACACACTTGGCGAGGGGCGCACGGCTGACGTACCCCTGGCCTTGTGCGCAGTGAAGACCAATCTGGGCGACTTGGTGGCAACAAACTCCTTAAAGGCGGATATAAAGGGGATTATATAATGTGGGGTTTAGGGTTTAGGGTCTAAAATCCTTGAGGGGGA